AAAAAAAAAAAAACTTGTCGAAATAGGCCTGCAGTTTTTTCACTATTAAAAACAATGCGACTTTATTTTATTGAATTTCTACCTATAAGTTTCATTGATTAAGTTGAACTTGAGAAACATTATTTTTTTAAATTAATATACAACAACCACAACTTCAAAACAACAATTTTATATAGACCTTTGCATTTCATTGTTATGAGTGAGAGAAATTTCTTATACGTTACGGATGTCAAAGGCACTTTATTTTTGGACATAACTTAAGTTCTCAGATTAAAAACCTTGAAAGAACTTTATACAGTTTTCAGACTGAAAAAAATTTCAGTTTTTCCGGCATGGTGAAAGAGTTTGGGCAAATCTTCCGGGTTTGATAAAGAAAGACGTAATTGATAGACGTGTCTTCGATTATGAACCAGGAGAACTTACTAATGTAAGAATTCTTCAACAAATTTTAGTTATCATTTTATAATTTATACCGATCGATTAATGGCTTGGGTTTTCTGTTGTGTGTTGTACGAAAAAATACCAAAAGGTAAGTGCAAACGTAATATCTAAAATGTTTTTTAACTTGGGAAAAATTTTGAAAATAGTTTTTAAAAATTGATAATAACATTTAAAAATTATTGGACTCGCTATACGAATAAATATTGACAACTGATGTTATCGTTAAGACTGGCATTCAACAAGCTTACTCATTGGGCCTGAAATTAAGAAACGATTACAGCAACTTTATTACCGACAAATACATTCCTTCGAAGGTTGGTAGCAATAGTTTGTTGAAATTTCACTTACTGTTAGAAATCTTGATAGTTTTGGCTTAAACTACTATTTCATGTGAACTTGCTTAATATTGTAACCTCTAATTCCAGGATAGATGACGTTAATTCCTAATCTTTAAAATTCTTGGCACTTTTAGAAGATTAATGTAATTTTACAAAGACTTCAAATTTTTAAACAAGACTGGCAATTTTTACTTCACCTTTGCCTTCTATTTTCAAGCAGACGTAAACAACCAAAAAACTGAGCGACAATTATTTATTATTGTAAATTAAAATTTTTTTGTAATAGAAGAAGTAAACGTTTTTTGGTTTTATAAAAAGCATTAAACTTTCACTTTTGAGTAGAAGACCCAGTTAAGACAAACTGCAGCATAGAAATTTATTTTTAAAAGCAAAAACTTTATCATTTTTGCATTTTTTAATGTAGATAATTTATAGCTGAAAAACAATAAAGTAGTAAAGATTCCAAAATAAAGCCATTTATGCTAAGTATAGAGTTTCACAGATTCTTAGACACGTAAACATGTCATTATTAATTCCAATTGAGTAAAACGTTTTTTATTAACACTGAATTTAACGTAGAAAAAAAAACTTGCAGCACTATTTTTCTAACGCAAAGAATGTCATGATAAAATGTATTTATAATAACAAAATAATGGTAGTGTTTTGAGATTACTGCTCACCACCTTACAGCTTCGAGTGAACACCGGTGAAGATAACCGAACAATTACCACCGCACTTAGCGTCCTTGCTGGTCTTTATCCTCCAAAAGATAAGCAGATCTGGTCCGGCAAACTACCTTGGCAACCAATTCCGGTTCACACAAACTTTCTGTTCGATGCAGTAAGGGTTTCTGTTACAACTGAAGACAGCCTTTACTGATGCACACTGTTATATTTTTTAGTATACAAGCGCACACTCTGAAATATGTTTAATTTTTTTTTAATAGAGAACTAGCCTCTGAGCATGCTGTTCAAACTACAAAAAGTTTTGAAGTTTTATTCTGACCTTTATTTTTAAAGCAACGATTATAAACGATAAACAATAACACAAGCAAACAAAAATTAGTTTAGGCAACAAGGAGGAGTAGTTTTTCCTGAAATTGAAAGCAGCTTGCTGCAGCTAACCAACTTAAATGCTTCTAAGTCTCTTCATTATCAGAAATTATTTTTTTGAACTTTTAATAGCTTTTGAGAAACAGTGATCACAAAATCCAGTAAAAAGTTCATTGGTTGGAGGAAGCTTTCACTACAGTCTACTTCCAAGGAGCACTTTTTTAAACTGAAGAATTTTGCGCGAAGCATAACAGTGAATCAGCGCATGACACAGAAAAGAAACGTCTCTGTATAACGACAACAAAATGATACCCTTGAAATAGCTCACGTAGAAAAAACGTCTAATTTTTGTAAATAAATTTTGTCTACAGATATCTGGAATATAGAACCACCAATATCGAGAACTGTTGTTGTCTACCTTGAAACGTGCTTGTAAGAGTACTGCTTTTATATTCCAAGAATACTTTTACAATGTTCTTAGAACTATTCAGTTACCATACAAAACAAAGTTCTCAGGCTTTGGTGTTTTGCTTAGAAATGAAGGATTAGGTAACTTGCAACTTTTAGAAAATACTTTTTAGAGATCACACGCAAAAAGTAAATGGGGAAGGACATCTATAGAACCACTTAAAACAGTGAATTTAAGAAATAATTTTTTCACCAGAAGTTGCAAAACGGTTGTTATAATTTCAGGTATCATTCGAAGTACTCGAAACATGCCCAGGTTTGGCTCGTTATGTCTACCGCCATCCAAAATATCTGGCCCTGCTTGAGCAGACTGCGAAAAAAAGACATTTTGTTTATCAAATGACTGGTATTAAAACAGGAAGTCTTTATAACTATGAGAAAGTTATAGACGCCCTTCAAACAATGGTAAAAAATAAGTGAAGTTATTGAGAAAGGAGCACAAGCAGGCTTCTTTAAGTCATATATTTACCAGATATTATTTTATAGAAACGACTCTATCCGGAGGCGCTGCCCAAATGGTCAATCAGTTTTACGTCTGAGGACCTGGGAAACCTAAAACTGGACCTTCATCTAAAATTTATAGACATTGTGTTATCACAGACAGGAGGTAGGTGACTGTCGAAAAGAATTACGTTTTAGACCTCCCAAACGAGCCATATTAAAAATCCTGAGTTTGCAGGTTTTCTCCTGAACTTTGTCTTAGACGAATTAGAGAACAATATAAAGCAGCAGGACTCTCATCCTTTAACAATGTATTCAGTGGCAAGTTATTAAATAGTAATTCGGATATATTACTTTAGTAATTTTGAAAGGAAGCTGCTCAGACTTCAAAAGAAGCAACAACAAGAAGTAATGACTTTGAAATTTAGGTCACTGTAGATAATTTCAGCACGACGTATCCATTCTAACGATAGCAAAATATTTGAACATTCAAGAACTAATGCTCCTTGGAGATTTTTGCTCGACATTGGTTTTTGAACATCACCGCACTAATGAGGAAGATATTATAAAGGTTTTGCTTCAAAAGAAATGCCAGTCTAAAACTACAGGCCCTTATTTCAAAAGCTCACATGCTTCTTAAAGCCTTGTGCAATCAAACGTGTCTTTTTTGCTAAATCTTTAAATTTTCAGATTTGGTTTACTCAAGGCGTTGATGGAAAAAAGAAAGAAGTATATAGTCCGCTATGCAAATCTCCCTGTAAATTTAGTACACTACGAAAGTTGGT